TGAATGGTGTGGATTATCATTGTCAATCACAATCAGGAATTGTGGTATCGTATCTTCATCACCATTATTAGTGATAGGTTCTGGAATTCTGGATGTTTCTTATAGTTAGCAAAATTGGCATGACTTTTCTATTTGTTTTTGCATTTCAAAAACATTTTTTTTTTAAAAAAAAAATTATTTTATTTTTTAAAAATAATTTTAATAAAATAAAATAATTTAAATATTTTTTTAATAATTTTTTTAAAAAAAACAACCTAAACAAATATTATCCACTGCTTATTTAAACATGCCTACGCGTGAATACTGGGGAAATTGGAACTGTCTGATTTAGGATCATGCTCACATCTGTATCACTATTGCTTTACTCTTAAAAAAAACAATTGTTTATAGTTGAATGTTTTGACGAGTTTATTACCACCTGTAACACGCATGAACCAATAATTATCAATTATGTCTGGATGACCTCTTCGACTGATTAACCTTGCAATGCATATTGTTTATTTTTTTAAAAAATATTTTTTTTAATATTTAATTTAATAAAAATTTAATATCATAATTTATTATATTTTATTTTCAATATTGTTATTTCAGTTTCATAACTTCTGTTGCAAGTTAACCTAATTAATCTGTCTTATAATTCAAGTTATAAACTTGATAAATTAATTTAAATTAATTCAAGTAATTTATTTTTAATTTATTTTTTTTAATTTTATTATTTAATATTATATTGATAGATAATTAAGTTTCATAATTTATTTTAATTTATTTTATATTGATTTTAAATAATTAACTCAAATTCACTAATATTAATTTAATATATTATTGTTTTACTATTTAATAAAAAAATAAAATATCTTAAATTATTTTAGTAAAAATGTTTCTGTTCATCTTTTAAATTATTTTTTAACTATCAAATCAACTAACTTATCAGATCAATCATGTATTATTAAAAAAAAATTATATAAAAATATATTATTGTTTTAATATTTAATATATTAATATTTTAATATTTAATAAAAAATTAAATTATTTTAGTAAAATTATGTTTCTATTTATCTTTTAAATTATTTTTTAATTTATCAAATCAACTAACATAACATGTGAGCTCAACCACGTATTATTAAAAAAAAATTATATTAAAAAAATGTTCAAAATGCTTGAAAGTGTTTTTTACGTTTAAAACATTTTAATCCGAAACAACCATTTAGTGGGGATTAAAGTGGGATTAAGCCTTTATGTCGATAACGCGCACATAAGTGGGCCCGGCTTCTATTCGTATAGCCTTTTGGAAATCAAAACGTGCTTTCCAAACAGTAGAAAGATGGACTTTTTAACGGCTGCTGATTAATCAACCTCGTTAACATCATGATAAAGATGAAGAAGAAAAAGGAAAAGGAAAAAAAATACAAATAATATTACCTTCTCACGTGCTAGGATTGCCAAATAGAATTTAAAATTAAGGGAGTAGAATCTTAAGACTTTCATAAATTACAGTGTTTTATTTTTTATTAATATAATACAGCATTTTATTTTTTTCCCCTTAATATTAACATAATCAAGTTAATAAGATCATTAAAAATCCGACCAGTCAAACAAGTTTCATTGCACAAAGGCTGCTTCTTACCATGATTTTAAGTCTTTTTTTTTTAACACCAAAGCAATTAAAAGATTTTTATTTACGTAATTCAATTACAGAAAATGAGTTCATTTTTAACGAAATCATGATAACTTCAAGGCATCCATAACATGGTACTAGAGCACTACATACAGCAGATGATTAATGGCTGCATGCTCTCCATCTATATCTGGGCCAAAATCATGCTCCATCATTGTTTATTTGCTTAAATGTTCTGACCATAAATCCATGGCCAAGATCTTTCTTGTACATCTCTCTCGCATCTAATATTTACAGGTTCTTTATCATCTACGGCCACTGGACAAACAGCTCCGAACCAGAGCTAGGCCTCTCTCTTTTCCTGCTGTGATCAGATGGTATTAGTTCATGAGCTAACTAATATTCTTGAGTCTGAATTCGCATTTTCAATGTTAGGAAATCTCGAAGAAATTAGCTTCCAGGCGGTCTGATCAGAGGGAATTGACAGATTCTGAACCTGTGTCATGCACCTAGTCTGCCCTGTCCTACTCACAGAAACCGATTTCATTATCACCACCAAACATCAAAATTATCAACGCCGCCACCCCCCCCCCCCCCCCCCCCCCCCCCCCAAAACCTTTTCTGCCAGCCCTCGCCATGGTACACCTGAGCACCAACCCGATTGCAGTGCCATTTTTGAACAGATAAGATTGAGAGAGGACGCAAACTGCCATCCCATAATGATCCATCAAAGTAGTTCATCTCCTTATATTGAAACATACCACGTTAGTTCTGATCTCAAATTGCGTGATGAATCTCTCGTTACTCTTTAAATAATTATTCATATATACTTTTTTAGAACTAGTTGAAATTGTTCTTTTATCATTTTTGGTGGTTCCCATTTTTTTTAATTCCTTTTATCAGCTATCTAGTAATTCTCATTACTATAAACAATTGATCTTGGGTTACGGGGGTTTTACAGGATTTTTATTTTATGATAAACAATATAATAACTTCATTGCCCTGGTTATTGTTTTTTTGGCCTTCACTTTAGGGTTTAGTGGTGATTTTATAATTTCTTTTGTTTTTTGGTATTATAATTTAGATATTTTAGTATTTTTTAAGATGAAATAAAATAAAAAAACAATGTTAATATGTGCTAACCATGTATCAATTATTTTTGAACAATGTGTACAATTAATTCTAGTGTTGTAGTTTTTCTTTCGTTTATTATATTATTTGATTTGTCTCAATATTTTTTTTAGATAAAGTGTATTTTGTGCATATTCATTTTTTTTTATTTTTCATCCACCTCAATTTATACAATACTCCTTAAAAAATCCACACTATCCCTTCAATTTCATTACCCTTTGAATTTAATCAGAGCTCTCTCAATTGTGAATTTCTTATTTGAAAAAATTATTTTAAATTTTATCATTCTTTAATTTTTTTATCTCTTAAATTTAATTATCATTTTTTTTATAATTGTTTGTTGTACTTTAGGTAATTTATAAAGTTGATTTCTTTTTATGATTTTATTCTCCAACTGGTTTTTAATTAGATTTGATTCTTGTTTTTTTAAATGCTAATTTTATGCCTGGAAAGTTTCTTAGATTGATTTTTTAATAAAAATTTAGAAAAAAAATTGTTATAATTCATAGTGAATATACAAGAAAGTTAACAATAAAAATATCATATGACTTAATGTTTTGTTAATTAAAGCTAAATTATAATAAGGTCTTAGTTTCAAATATGTTATTATAGTATTCTTTTAGTATATCATGGCTTTCTATTTTATTTTCTTAGTTTATTATTGTTAGTATTGTACAGATGACATTTATCAGGGTGACGCATGTCAAAATCTTAATTTCATTCTTTTTTATGTTTTATTCTATTGTCAAGTAATAATTTTTTTAAAACAAAAATTTACACATGTGCTAAATTGGAGTTAAATTTTATTTATTATTTTATTGTCAAAAAAGAAGGGAAGAAAAAACACAAGTGGTAAATTTGAAATTATTTTTTTTAATTTTATTTTTAAGAAACAAAAACATATATAGGTTTTGTTTGTTAGCTGAAAAGTAGTTTATTTCGGGAAAGTGAATTCCAGAAAAATAAATTCCGAGAAAGTAAATTATTTTATGATGTTTGACAATGTAATATAAAATAAATTAAAAAATATTTTTCAGTATTTGATTATGTAATGAAAAATAAGTTAGGAAATAACTTATTAATATTTTATTTTTCTCAAGTTTATTAGAATAATAAAGAAAAAATCCTTCAAATTAAAAGGGTGAATGATAATGAAATTGAAAAAAAAGTATAATTTCATAAATTATCTCAAATAAAATAAATAATAATAAAAATAAAAGATGAAGAAATTAAAATAATAATAATTAATATTTCATAAATTATTTCAAATAAAACAACCAACAATAAAAAGAATGAGGATCAAATTTGATAGATAAAAAAGTTCAATAAAAAAAACAAATAAGAATTATAAAATAAGAATCAAAGTGGATATAAAAATTAAATTTTAAGAGGTGAAATCAAAAAAATAAATATTTAAAAGTTTAAGGATCAAATTTGATATAATCAGCAAATAATATGATATTTTTAAATTTTTCACAAATTTCAGAAAATATTTTCCAGCTAAATTTTATAGAAAAACAATTTTCTTAAAATTAAGCTAAATTTTTTTACTTAAAAAGTATTTTTTATTAATCAACTTTTTTAATAATAAATAAACATAAAAAAATTTAAAAATGATTTCCATAAAGTAATTTCTAGATTCAAACAGTCATTAAAAAAAAGTTCTTAAATTCAAATTTAATTTCTAATAAGTGATAACCTCTCTTGATCGTGACGTATTTAACACGGACCATAATCAACTGTTAGCTAATTAAAAGAAATGACATGGTAACAGATTAAAATACACAGTATAAATACATCATATAGGCCATTTATATTTATTTTTATTGTGATAAGGAATGCTATTTAAAAGTTTTTTATTTAATAAATATATTAAAATTATTTTTTTTATTTTTAACATTAAACCATAAAAAAACACAAAAAGATATAAATTTATTTTCCCCCATAACCAACAGGGTCTCCAATACGCCTAACAATCCAAACTTCAATAATTGTAACTTTTTTCCCCCATAGAACACTAGGGTAATCAACTAGAGAGCGTTGCATGAGAGACTGGCCTAGCTTATCAGCCTTTTCATAAAATATGTACCTTGAAAGGGATTTCAGGCTCTCTTAAAATAGTATTTTTTTCCCCCTCTTTTGTAAACTACGAGATTGATGCCCTATGGCCTACGGTAGGCGAGGAGGATTTACAGCCAAAATCTCACTAAAATCAACACGCTTAGCTCTGTTTTTCAGAAGAGATCACTAGATAAAAACCAAGGAGTAGATTAACAAATTAAGCTAATAATTAATGTTATTTGTGAGACCCACACTAATCATATCGACCCATTAATCATATGGGTAAAAGGTTCGTGTACCCAGTTCATGAAGCTGACCCGTTTCTCCTGAAGTCCAACCCCAGCATCAAGAAATTGACCATCAATCATGCATTTCAATCCCTTTTTACTAGTTAAGAATACATAAAATAAAATACTGACAGAAATTCATGCCATGAGAGTAAAACATTTTAAAAAAAAAAATTCTTTTATTTGGCTGAATTGCCAAATCTCCATGTATATATACACTTTAGACAACCTCATCAAGCTCTCTAAGAAACCGAAACAGGACTCTATTCATCGTAAAAATCACCATCATCGCTATTTGCAGCCCATAACCGCTGATTAAACTCCCCCTGCATCTCATCAGGCACAAACGAAGTTCTACAAAGTGGACACGTGTTCCTGTCATGATCCATCCATCGGTCCAAACAAGCCCTGTGAAAAATGTGCTTGCAATTCTTCAACCACCTGATCTCGTCCTCTCCTTTAAACTCATACAAACAAACAGCACAACTCTCCGGCAAGTCACAACAACCACCATCTCCGCCGATCAAGTCCTCGAACTTGATGACAGGCAAGATTTCCCGGATCAGGGCAGCCGATAGAGACGGGTAGAAGGACGTTGGGGTCGGGTAATCGGGCCAGATATTGTCAGTCTCAAGGAAATCTGAGAGACCCACGTAGGTAAAAAGACACAAAACGAGGCCCCTGATGAAACCCAGCAAGGAAAGTGCGTGAACGAACAGCTTGGGTAATAAAACCTCCGAGTACCCAACTGGAAACCCCATTTAGCTGAAAAAAGGAGAGGAAAACAGAGAAAAGGATTTTCTTTCTGATAGATAATGGGAGAGAGAAGGGCCTTTCTTCAAGAATTTATTGAGAGAGAAGGGAAGAGAGAAGGGAAGCTTCTGCTTCAGCTGCTTCAGTTTTGGGATGGAGGTAGTGCTTCTATACTCTTATATAGGACAGAGAGACTGGAGTGAGAGAGTGATAAGCTCACCAGCTGTGATGTTTGGTGTTCCTACCAGGGCCAATAGAAAAGGAGAAGGGTGGGATCTTAGGTGGGTCACCGCAATTGGATTCGATTTGACTGGTCTGTGATAGTGGTGATCAGGGGTAGTTCTGTAGTTTCACTGTGTGGAAGGCCGCGTAAACCCTTAAGTTATTCGAAAATAGCCACCGGTTTTATTATACAAAAGGAGGACATTTTTGCACAAGTGCCACGTGCTGTAATTATGGAAAGAGAGAGGAAGTGATGCTGCTGGCATGGTAATCATCTGTCTCGGCTACTCCATGTCTTTTGTAATTTTGCTCTTTTTGATTATCTTGTGGTGATTTGGGTCTATTAACGGAGAGGACAGTAAATCAACACTGCCATGAATGAAAAATCTCTCTCTGCTTTGGAGATATCGGTGAATCAAGCACCAAATCTTCATAGATTATATTATCTTTCAAAGGCTGCAATGTCTTGAAATGAAGGATTTAAGGACTCATTTATTTGTAAAAAAGCAATTTCTTTTTGGAGAATAGTTTCATGGAAATAGAATTTTTTAAAATAATTGTTTAATTTTTTTATGTTTAGTAGTGTCATAAAAAATTAGTTAAAAATACTTTCATGCCTTGAAAAATAAATTGAAAGATTATCTAGTAATACTTTATTTGTTTTTCAAGTTTATAGGAAAAGAATGTGATATAAAAAAATGTAGTAGTTTACTATATTATATATTTATATACAGTTTATTTTATAAAATGTAATTATTGGTATAATATAAATATTTTAAATAAAATATTATAGATATATAACTATTTTTTGGTGTTTTATAAATATTGAAAATAGAATTTTTTTATAATATCCTGATTTTATAACACAATTTATATGATTTCTAATTTTATTTTTAATTTGTTCCTTTTATTTTTATTTTTTTTATTAATCATCTTGTGAAGGTTTTATTAGTTTTCAATTTCATCTTTCAATCTAAATTTATGATATATTATGTTTTTTAGTTTAGTCCTCACTCTTTTGTTTTTTATCTTTTTTGTTAAATTTATTTTTCTTTTCAATTTCATCCTTCAATAAAAAATTTATATTTTTATTTTAAATTATTTTTTTTAATTTTAATTTTTATTCCTTTAATTGCTATTTTTTTCCTCTCAATATTTTTTTAAAAATTGAAGTAATGTATTAGTAATAATTGAGTTTGCCTTGTGGATTCATTAAATTGATCAATTTATATCAAGTTAACTCACACATAATTTAATTAAAAACATGAGTTAAATAACTTTTAGATTCAGGAGATTAATAGATTAAACATGCCTGGTGAGGCTAACAACACTATAAAAATAAAAAAATTGAGCACTCTTGACTTTTTTTTAACTATCACTATCATAAGATTTAGATTTATCTATGAAATGTTTTGTTGGTATTTGCACTACCATTCTGTTGGTAATTAATTTACCAATAAAATCACTATTTAAAATTCTTCGTCGGTGAATCTTTCGTCTGTAATTTTGTATCTATTGGTAATAAAAAAATAGTATTATGATAGATTTACTAATGAAAAGATGAGTACAAAAAATTACCTGCTTCATTTCATCGGTAATTCTCTCGGAAAAATACCATATGTAATTTTATTAATAATTATTTAAAAATATTTTTAAAAAATCTAGTTTAAAAAACTATAAAATAATTAAATAAAATTAATCAACACTCTATAATACTCAAAATGATTGGAAAAAAAGAAGAATAAAATCAACTCAAATAAGTTTGCAATAAATAAATAACATGAAAAAATAAATTGAACTAAAAAAAATCATATGAAAAAAATTTAAAAATCTTATAAATAAATCAACTAAAAATTGATCTCATATGAAAAAAAATCTTGCAACAATATTCATACAATTATTAAAAACAAAAATAATTAAAAATAAAATAGAAAAAAATATAATGAAAAAAACATGAAAAAAAAAAAATTTTGTTTGCCTTAATATAGTTGCAAGTGAAGTTAAAAAGAGAGAAAAAAATAAAATTATAAAGTATACTAATATAAAATTACAAAATGAGAAGAATACATACCTGGGCATGGAAAAGAAGAGAAGGAGTTGAGGACAAAAGAACTGAAAAAAAGAAAAGAAAAGGAAGACATACCTTAGTATGAAGAAAAAGTGAAGAGTTGAGGAGAGAAGAGAAGAAGAAGAAAAAAGAGACGAGTCTGTTGTGAAATTAGAGATTCTGGGCTTTTTATTGGGGTGTTTTATCAATGAATAATTAAGTATTAATATTTTTAATTATTTTATTGGTGATTCTGTCTATAATATTTAATTTAAATTTTGAATTTAATTAAATTTTTTCATAAACCACCAAATATCATCACGACTTTTCAATCCGTTAGTGATTCTGTTTATAATATTTAATTTTAAATTTTAAATTAAGCTAAATTTTTCAGAAAACTGTTATATAACACCGATGACTTTTCAATTTGTTAGTGATTTTGTTGATAAAAAATAATAATTAACAATACAATTAGAAAATGAATAGTTTCAGAGCTCTCTGTAAAATACCAACATAAATTTTCACATGTAATTCCCTTTGTCATTGACCTAATGAATAATATTTACAATTTACCAACGATTTTAACAACGGGATTTATTCTATCAAAATTATGTCGATAAAAATAGTATGTTATCATTTTTTTTTGTTTTATTTTAATTTTTTTTACTATAATTTTTTCAATAAATACTAAAAAAGATATTTCTATCAATAAAATTTATCAATAATTTACCAATAAAAATATTCTCTTAATATTTATATTTGTATTTATCATTTTAAAAAATTCAACCCTGGCTGATGTACTAGTTGACGGTAAATTAAAAAGATAAGGTGCATCTGTAGTTAGTAATCAGAGCCATTATTAGTACATCGATTAGCCCATCATGAAAAGGTTCAAGCTTCGCAAATGGCGATGCAAACTTTTTCCACTCATTCGAGGGAGAGTCTGCTGTGCATTAAGTGGGAGTTAATTTGTTTTTCTCATAAAATTTGATTTTTTTTCTTTAAAATATTTTCTTTTATGCTTTTAGATTCTGTTAATATATTTAAAAATAAATTTTAAAAAATAAAAAAATATATTATTTTAATTTTAAAATCATTTATTACCACCACTAGCTGAATGTTAACAATCAATGGCTGCCTGCATTAAATAGCTATTTAATGCACATATTTTTATTTTCCCTGTCATAATGTTAAATGATTGGAGCGCTTCCATGTGTGGTCTGCTTTGGCTGTACGTCCTCGAAGAGCAAAGCAATCAATCAACGATATGCTCCCTCGAGGTCCATTAATGGCATTAATTACAATATTACTCTTACGGATCTCTCCATCCCGCATCTAATCATTGTTGACTTGCCTCCCCGCTAGCCACTTAAATATTTGCTTATTTGTGGTTTTATTTAAGAAGGAACCTTCCATTCCAAGGAGGCTTACTTGTAGTATACATGTGAGCTAGAAAAAGCCATGGCAAAAGGGTTTATCATCGAGCACTTTTTTGAGTGTTAGATGGTTTGTACGTAAAGTTGCCTGGCATAATTTCGAAGCAAATTCAAAATTAATTTTCTTTCAGTGCTTGAAATGTTGGAGGATTGAGGGAGAAGATTGGCCATTTTCTATTCACTGAACCCTCGCCTGAAAAATTAAAAATATACTTTTAGTGGACAATTATATATGTTCTCATACAAGGAATCATCAAGGAAGAAGAGGACAACTGCGAAACTCCATTCCCCTACCAAAACCTATCATCATGAGAACTGAATTATTATTCCCGTCCATCGATAAAGATCCAAGTTTTAGTTTTTATTTCCAATATATACTTTGTAAAGTAGCCTTGTAACTTCCTGGATATACTTTTTTTTTTCTAAAGTAAATCGTAAATCGTTTAATTTCCAATAAATATAAAGAGTAGAAGGAAAAGAAAAAGGTGGTACTGTTGAAAGAAAGTGCCAAGTCCAAGTGATGGCAGTCTGGACCAAATTGAAATAGACGATGTGGGGCAAAGCCGTTTTCAAAAGTCCAAGCATGATAAGGGGGCAAGGCAAGAAGAATCCGGGGGTCCTTCAATACTCGAGAGTGGCAGGCCAGTGGGATCAGAGAGGCAAAGAGGCAGGACAAATATCGTCGGTGGTGCGAACCCTGGCTAAACAACAAACCCTCATGGGTGGATCAGGAGACCATCCTTTAAGCTCGAGCTTTTCTGAACATTCAGCTGATGAAAGTGCGCACCATGACCATGAAATCCTATCTAACACTTGCAGCTGCTTGCAATTGCCTGGCTAGGACAAGACACTCATGTCCCAGATGTTCGAACATATCGCTGTCCAAGTATTTAGCTGTTGATTCATGGCAAGTAGTTAAATTGTCATCAAACCCGGCCCGTAGGGCATGCCAAAATCTACTAGGACTTAGCGGGTAAATAAACAAAGAGTTAAAACTTCATATATATATATATATATATATATATAGGTGCGTAGTTTTGATGAAGGGAAATGGCAAACTACACAGACACACACACGCTATCTATTCAAACAGTTCACATCCATGAATCACGAAAAGTGTGAGGGTGAGAGAACCCAGGGATCTAGACATTGCTTTGCAGGGAGAGTTAAATTCAACAAACAAACAAAAAATTTATGGCAGCGTGTCGGTACTATCTTTATTAAAAAAAAAAGGCAACACTTTTTATTTCTGAAAACAGCGAAATTATTAGTATTATTCCTAATGACAGAACAAAAATTTAACCCTTAGCATGGTGGGGTTGGCTCGAATAAAGAACGGGCAAGCTCTAGGGCCTGTGCTAGGTTAGCTAGACGCACAACCAGGATTCGACTCAACATCTTTATAGATGCAAATTATAATCATCAATGGAGTTCTCAAAGGAGAAAAAGGAATTCTC